TGACATATATGCATCCTGTGCGAATTTTCTCAAGTCATATGCGTTATAAACAGAGATGGATATTGGCTAGCAGTGGAATCCGGAACGTGCGTTTCGTCCTTAAGCTATATATACCTGTACCCCACAGTTGATGTTCATTCAGGTACTTGAGCACAGAATCGTTTGAAGCAAATCGTCCTAGATTCAATTCCCTGGGTGAACACCAACTAATAGGTTGAGGTATATGCAGTTGACTAGTCCCAACTAAGACGAAACACGCATCCTGGATTCCACTGCTGGCCAACATCCATCTCCATTTACGTACTTATTGCTGATTTAAAACATATGTTAATCGTTTATGTAAATACGTTAGTAATCTCATCAGTTCTCCTGTTAGAACATAATCCTACTTCAATCTAAACAACATGATGTATTTATATTTGCAAACTTTTCACAAATTTTTATTTATTTTTATATAGTCACTTCAAATTATAGTACATAGAGGCTAATATTATTATTACTTAAATATTAATAAATGTCATTTCTTTTTCATTCTCTACCTTATGATGTGTTTTTTTAAATTTTTCACATCCATTCTTGAAATGTATTCAAAGAGGTTATTTATTCTATTGACGTTAAAAGTCGGAAACCCACAAAATATTCAATAGATTGGTGTTGACAGTGGATACTACTAATAATAATAATAACTAGATTTCATATTAAAGAGGCTGGAACCAACTAACTACTTATATATATATATATATATAAAAGAGAGTTAGATTAATCTTTGACAAAAAGAAAAAGCTATTTATTTTATCAGGTCAAATTTTTTCTGACCATTTTTATCACAACAAACAAACCAAAAAAAATAAAATAAAATGAAGCAAACAAACAAACGAGTTATAGTATAGAGTTTTTGTAATAAAATATACTTTTCTGAATATTACAGATTACTCTTTCTTTCTTTCCTTCTTTCTTTCTTTCTTGCTTTTCTCACCTACATTTGTAAATGATTTCATTTTTAGGCGAAAAAAAGGAGAAAATAAACACAGCAACTTTATATTGATTAGTTTTATTTGATTATTAGATGAAATGACCTTATCTTGTTAGTTAACTAAATGGAAATCGAACAGTGTAATATATAAATAAACAATGTTTATATATTGAAATATGAGAAGGTGAATTCATGATTGTCACCAATGAGTTTTTTTTATTTAATTTACATAATAATGTGTGTATGTTTGTTAATTTGTGATTTGAATACATTTTATTAGGTTATTATTGAATTGAAAATTGCCCAATGTTAAGTAGCCATAACACATTGGATAAGTAGTATGAAAATTAAGATAATCATAGAAACGAGTATATGTTTTCTATGTAGTTGTGAAATATGATCTTATAGTGGTCTATAATAGACAAAAAATCTATATTTATAAGTGCCTATCGACTATATTTATCTTTTCGGTTTATTAAACCATAACTATCACGACAAAATTCTACCAAGTTAGAGAGTTAATCTGATTTGGGTCTGTAACTACATGCTTATTTTGCGCTTCTGATGATAAATAAAAATAATAATCTTCATGCAAGAGACTTTTTTCTTGGGAAGCCGATCAGTGAGGGACCATTGATGTTTGATAAAGTGCTTCAAGATACTAGAGCACTCGTTGTCAAAAAAGCATTGGAGCTCCTGTAGAAAGTAACAGCTTTTTTTGTTTGGATAGAATAAAACCCGATTGAAAATGTAAGAAATGGAGAACAGTTATATAATTTGTATTATGATACACTCAGTTTTAATTTAATAATCTGAAATATTAATTAATGATAAACACATAGTTCACTGAACAAGAAAAAAGTGAATTATAATTTGTAATTGCTACCATAAATCAAATTTATAATAAAACATCAAAAGCTTATTAGCCATCAATTCATCACTCGAATGATTTGACCTATTTTATTATCCTTTAATTTTGATATGAAATTATGTTCATATGAAATAGACAGAAAAAACTTTGAAAATATTGTGGTTTATATTGGTTATAATGTAATACAACGGTAACATATATACTTTCCAATAAACTATTCACTTTTTATGAGCAAAAACTAATGGTTTCTAGCAGCGGAATTCACTGGTAGTAATTATAACTCTGAAACGCAGGTACACTCAGCTGATGAGTCCCAAATAGGACGAAACGCGTGTCCTAGATTCCACTGCTAGCAACTATCCATCTTTGCTTACAAAACTTGTGACTTAAGGCAATATTGAAGCAGTCGACACAGGATGCATATATGTCAACAAGAAACTGATCACAACAATGGGAAGTTTCAAACAAACAATATCAAGTGCATTTATTGTACTTGTTTAACAAGTCAACTGCCAGAATACGTTGAATTTAATAGAAATCAAATGGTAAACATTTATTAAATGGATAAGTGGTATTCTGAATACGAATAAAACGATGCTGAATTCAAGATAAACCATCAGGTCATACTCATTTCAACTAGTTAAATGATATTTAATAATTCATTTTCGCATTAGTAATCTAATGATAATTCAGTTTGAAAACATCACTTTCCCTGAAAATAAGTGATCATTGAAGGAGAATATTAATATATCTAACCTAATACGATTTTAGTACAATTGTCCGTTTTGCAATAATAGATGATAATTACTTTTGACTTGTGTATAAAAAGTTATATACTGTCTATAACAGTCGGAAATTTTTACATTTTTTCTGCATGTTATGTAGTTATATGCTGCTATTCCAGTAAGCCTAATACTTATTTAAATAATTAGAATGGAGTTCGTAGTGCTATGCAAGCCTACACAGCATATTCTAGCTTCCGGACAAGTCCATTCATTCTTCTTAAATCATATTTTGAATTTGTTAATTATTCGCTTATCAACCTAGACTGTTTTAGGCAAGCAAATGTATGCGCATTACCTTTCTTACTCAGCACATGTCTGTAATTTATTTTTGTTTGACTATAAATATCGATTAACGCTTGATTAAATCGAATTGGCTTACACACCTTCTCCAATGCATGCCCTCTGGCTTTGCTCTCTTCTGTTTGCTTTATTCCTCTGATTGTCTGTTCAAATCAATCAGTGCACAAAATATACGTATTCAAAACTTCCTTCTCGTATTTGACTTATTTAATACCGTCATTCGTTAACATGATTTAAGTCGACAATTACATACGAGGGTTAGAGACATGTATATTTCAATAACTCTATAACGATAATTACACGATCAAATCAAGAGTCAGATGTAGGGCCACAAATATTACTTGTATTTGAATTATGCTTGATAAATATATGTGAAGTGAGTACACTGTTTTCCAAACTTTTACCCATAAATTAGATCTTATAAATATTAAGCTATTCTATACTAATACCATGTTCACAATACTACAATTCCATTTCATTTTGTTTTGTTGTCATTACTGATTATTTCTGATCGATTATTTATTAACATTACGTATTGTGAAATAGATTAAAAGCAAATGATTCTCATGTACTGTTTTTAATAATATTACTAGGAAATAAAGATGAACGGGAGATTAGCTGTAAGAATCATAAGAAATCTTCAAATAGAATTTCCCATATTTTTGTATAGAAATAAGAAGAAGGGTTGCAGAAGATCACTAATCGACTGAAGTTAGGCATTAACATCTTTAGATGCCGGTTCAGTCGTTTAGAGGTTATGTGTTAACGTGTCAGACAGAAAGTCCTGAATTTGAGTCCTACATGCGGTATCGTGGATGCGCGCTGTTGAGGAGTCTTATACTAGGAAGAAGTAGCCGTTCAATATCTCAAGGTTTTCAGTGGAGGTTTAGCTTAGATCGGATCGTGAATTCATTTATTAAAGTACTACAATATCCGAAACTTCCCATGCTGATATAAAAGAAGAAGCATACATAAAGAGTAAACATTTAGAATGAGTAATCCTTTAAACCGTCTCATCTTTTATTGATTTTCTTAAGTTGAGAAAAATCATTTTATTCATCTCACTCTGTATGCTTTGTGCTGTTATTATTACTGTCATTGTTGTGTATGGAACTTTTATTTTTCTATTTAGTCTGTTCCTAATTCGTATTAGGATATCAACTATCCAGTTAATATAGATAGTAAATTGTTTGAATAATGCAAAAAATGTTACGGAAGATAGTTATATTTGTTAGCTTGGATTTAGTTTTTTCGGCTTTAAGAATGTCTTATGTCTTATTAGTGATTGTGGCTGGCTGGAGAAATATTGGATTGTTTAATATCTGATCGATCGAAAATTATTTCACAAATTTTGACGAGAAATCACAAGTATTGAAGCTCAACCATGTTGGTAATTTGGAAATGTATCACAGATGACACTTGACAATTGTGCTATATCATGACCCGACGTAAATGTAAACTATGAGCTTACGAAACGGTGGTTTGAAGACTAAATCCTTCAAGCGGAATATGAAGGTCTAGACCTTAATGCCAGTTAAGTGAGTGCGTCTTTGAGTAATTTGAAATTACTATGGAATGGTTCTTCGATTCCCGTTGTTTTTCAACGTGCCCAGAAACGGTAGCGATAAACAATTGTTAAGATACGGTAAAATTTGGGATAGAATTTCAGCCGAATGGTTTCACTTTCTTGTGACTTAGATCCAGTGGGCAAACGATGGCCTGACAAGTTAAAGTGTGGTGAATTCATGAATCGCAAAATTCTGCTTAATGTTGTCAAGAAATCAGAATCATTACTTTCAAAACCATGGCTTGTTTAAATGCAGTGAAAAAATAACATGGCCCAAGAAACTTTATTTTGAATTTTGAACCTTTACGTTGAATGATCGATGAATCTCTTGAATGTTCATAGATTGTACGTGAACTTTGCATCAACTTTCGATACATAAACATTTTAAATTTTAAATAATTTTTCAGGTAGGTAACTTGAAATTCACACAAGTTTATTTAACTCGTTGAGTTAATAATCCCATAAACAACACAGTACGTTTTAAAAAAAAGTTAAATAACTTACTTGAAACCGATACTTTGGGTGTTTCATAAGACTTTGGTTCATCCGTTCCATGATTCGTTTGATTAGGAAATTGCTGTAGCATATATCGATTACCTCCATTTACATAATTCATACTATTATTTCCATTACTGTTAGTAACTTTATCGTTATACAGCTTTATACAATCTGTAGTATATGTTGTAGTAGTATTTTTAGTATAGTTATTAAATCCTAATGATGGTAACCAATAATAACATGGTGAATTAATGAATAAACCTGGTTCTGGCAGAAGAGCTGCAGCAGCAGCGGCCGCTGCAGCTGTTTGAAAATTTTGTTTACTTCCGTCATTGTTGAAAAATGATTTTCTCAGATTAGCCAGTTCATAACCGTTGATTGTTGTATATGCAGAAGTATTCATGTAATCCGGAATTAAAAAAGGTTGCATTAAAAAACTTTTCATGTATTTATTACTTAAAAGTGATTTTAAATTAAGGTTAGAATAGTCTATGTTATTATTGTTGTTTGAGTTGTAACGAGATTTTCGTCTATTCGTAGCAAAGCTATGATTAATAAAATGATCTGTATCCTTTGATGCATAATTAGATTTTGATCTAGTGTAGAAGTTAGTTGTATTTGATGCGCCAGCTCTTAATGATGAATTCGTACTAACTAATACACTTGAGGTCGTGATAGATTTTGATATGGTTGGTGTGGAACTATCAAAAATATCTGGAATCGAATTAGATCTTGTTATTTCTGTTGTTTTAACAAAGCCAAGTGGTGAAGAAATTTCACTTTTCGTTTCTCGATTCAATTCATTCATGTCATTTGATGTGCTGATACTGATCGAAAGATTATTGAAAGTGGTAGTTTCTATATCTGAAGTATTACTACGTAATTCACAACAATCTCCTTCATGATCAGAAATATTATTGGATATTTGAGTGAATAGTTCTTTTCTTCTTTGGGTAACATTATATGGAGTTCTATAAAATAAAATTACATAAATGAATCTATGAAACTGATTAATAGACAAACGTTCGTTAAAATAAACAATTACTTATTAACAACATCGATTTGATAGAACCGACTGGTGAGAAAGATGTCCTTATTTATATAACTAATGAGTGGTGTTCATGGATTTTTGAATATTTGCCGACTTTAGAGGTCAAATATTCTGGTTTTTAGAATTTGGTTTAGCAAATTTTCCGACTATAGAGTAAATAACTTTAGCTAGTAAACATTAGACCTTCGGTGAATTGTTGATCTAAATTAATTGTTTATAGGTAAAGAAAAGTCGGCCATTTTAAATCATTTTCAACAATTTGAGCTGAAATAATCTCTTTGAATCGATTTCTTATATCGGAAGAATTTAGTGAATTAACTTTACCATTACTTTCAATCTGTTAAAGTTATACAAGAATAAAAACAACTATCGCTCATGAATCCATTTAAATTGTAACTACAATTAAATGTGAAGTTTTATTCTAAATTTTATTCTAACAAATAGTTCATCTGAACATTGTATATACGTTCATTTTGTATTGTTTGTTTGAATCTTCACATTGATGTTATGAACTGTAATCGATCACTCTCTCATTGGCATGTGTGCACTTTGTGAACATCAACTCAGGGATACAAGTACATCCAGCTGACAAGTTTCAAATAGGACAAAATATGAGTCATAGATTCCACTGCTAATTACCATCCATCTTTGCTTATTGTATATAAATGTTCAAATTTACTTCTTTTTTATCTTCAATTAGTAGAATGATTCACATGACAACATGTTCGACAAAATTTTACCAATATCTTTTTAAACTAACCCTTATTTTTACACATAATATTACATATTGACAAATACAATTGCTTTCACAAAGTGATCATGTTATGACCTATTTGTTTATTGTTAAATTAATCTGATCAATATATTTCAAGAAGACTGGATATCATCGAATTAATTTTAATAATATATATATATTTCTATATATTCATTAAATGCCATATCAATATTTTAATGATTAATGACCAGTGCTCCAGACAAAAGGAAAATAAATATACAAATTAATTTCTCGGATGAACTAATTTCCATTAAGAACTTAATCACAATATTTATACAACCACACCTTGTTTTCAGTAAAATTTTATTATATTCTTATTAAAATAAACAAAGTTTCTTAATTAAAGACAATTGAATATACGTATAACTGTATATGTGTATGTGGGTGAGTTGGAAGGGGAGGGTAGATAAATGAACAGTTGCATTGAGTCACCTTGTTAAATTTCTATTGTTGTTTTTCTTCAAACATATTCAATCTAAAAATATTTCTCATTTAATTTTGTCCTGTTCTTGAGAGATTGTGACAAAAATAGCGAATTATTGACGAATTCATTGTCAGTGTTAGTTACGAAGTAAACATTAGGTAGTCAAGTATATTAATATTGACAGTGAAGCAAAGTGTTAAATTTGTTGATAATCTAATTTCGTGAATAACAAGATATAAATAGAACGTTTCATAATATGTGATTTATTCTCCTTTTAGTTTCATCCATAGATTAAATTTATCATTAACTATGATGTAGACAAGCGCTTTTATATCACTGAAGACGAGAAATCTTGTGATGCACAAGATTAAAGTTCCTGCTGGTTGGAGCTACGTCTTTTTGACACAGACTATCTTATATTAAAGCACAGTTTACACGATTTCATGACCGTTAAATCAGTGGGCACATTTCTATACCACCAGGACTCCAGAACTAAACAAGGATAACATTGACTACTAATTGATTGGTTGGTATGAATAGGATTTGCCTGAGCTACAATGAAATATTATTGTTGTACATATTACTAAAATAGTTCCAATCAGACCCTCAACCACATTTTCTTAAATTTCTATTTCTACTACGTTACTATTTGTGTTTATAAACGCCTCAGTGAACTACTAGGGCACTTCATATACTTAGAAATGTTGTAATAAATAATATGACGACAATTAAAAATACTACTGTTATTAACTGATAATTGCATATTATCAGATACTTTTGCAATAAAATGCTGTGTAAGAGGTTGTGAAAGTAGCTTCTACCTAGAAGTTATCTGAAATCCATGTTGTAAGATATAGATATCTTTGAAAAGCTATGACTTAATTATTTGTCGTACTCTTTAAACTATCAATAATGGTGTTAGTACGTTCGACCCACAGCGATATTACGATCTCAGTGGAAATTGAAACATCATTTTACAAATGCATGTAACTAAAAATTCAAACCTTATTTGAATTTCAGCTGGTAGACTGGGGTTTTCTTTAGCTGTTTTGTCTGTGGTGTGATTAGTTCGGCTCATTGAACACGGTGATGTTGATGATGGTGAAGGTGAACTAAGGGATGGAATAGATGATAAGTCTGGAGTAGTGGATTGTTGACTTTCTTGGCCAGACTCAATATTATTTTTAATATTATCGGCATTAATTGAACAGTCTTGAAATGATAACTGATTATTTACGGATTTTGATTTAAAAGTTTGTGGATATATTTTCTCGAGTTTATGTTGACGGTTGACCTTGGATGCTGATATTGTATATGAACTTGACGATGAAGTTCCTAACTCACATTCAGAAAGTAATTCATCATGTAGCTTCTAAAATTAAAAAAACGTTGGGTATGAATAAAAGAGATAATCTTATTTTTCAACTCTGATAAGGATGAACAAACTAACAAATTAATTTTTAAAAGCAAATTTCCTACTTGGAATTTGAACTCATACACAGCACAAAATGTTATTCAAGTCATACTTGTTTACTTCACATTTTAACTAAATTACAGAAATCCTCGTGACTGTATGCATAAACGATTACGAATGAGAAGCACTAGTACTTCATTTGATGAAACTGTTAAAGATATCGTCAAATGATAAGACATGCAAATCTGCTTATATATGCTGAAATGAATATGTGGAACCAGTGACTGTAAATTTATTGCACTTCATTGAATCCCTTATTTAATTATGTAAATGCATCTAAAGTGGTGATAAGATTTTAGTGTTATTATAATCTCTCTGTTGTCCAAATATATCATATCCTAGAAAAAGTACAAATTTATTCATTGATTCACTTGTTTGTATGTAAATGTCTAGTTGAAATGTCGTACGGATTCTAAATTTTGACTCATAGTGGAACCACTCAGCCGTTCCAGTGTGTCGTTTAAAAAAGAGGGTATGATATGTTTTTATTATGAACTGATCAAAGTTGTTGAAGAGAGGAGCTACTGACTACCATTTACAAATATATGCATAACAGTAGACTTTTTTAGTAAACCAAGTCAACAGCTGCTCAGTAATATAGGTTCGGATTTTTGAATGTGGATAAGTTGGTATAACAATTGCTAATACGTTATATTAACTATTCACACAGAACATAGCACCTAGATTTTAAATCTAACGCCGATAATCAACAACCAAGCAATATCAAATACACGAAACGTGTAAACAATGGCAAATTATTTGATCCCATTAATGTATTCGTTGCTCAGTCAATAGCCTGGAATACTGATTTTCGAATTCTTTATACAACTGGGAAAAAAGTGAATAATAGTTGACATTTTTACTTATAGAGGATACAGAAAACTATATTTTATGATGATATTTAAAATATCTGATGATTCATTTGAAGCAGTTCTACCATGGGCAGTGAAGCTCTAATTTATTGGAGAATATGATCAAATTCAAATTTCTAATTTGTGAGATATGAGAGCTTTACTGTTAAGCATTTCTTTTGCCTCAAATCTCATTTTTCTTCAAGAGTAAATGAGCGAATAACTTCCTACTTATTTACGTCATAAACAAAAATATTAAGTATTTTTATTCAAAATAGTGAAAACTGCTTACTCCACTTTCGAGAAATTCATCAGTTGTTCATATGAATTTTCATTTTACATTTATAAAAAGTAAACAAAAGCTTGAAGGTCAGTTGTCATCTTCTAAGTACCGTTCATAAATATTAAAAACTTACTGGAATGAGCTGAGATGATTGTGCAAAATATAAATTCCCTTAGTGAAGAAATATTGTCTAGTGGAAGTAGGTGGCCGATATTATCAGAATAGGGTTTGCGGAGATTGTAGTAATTTAGCAGTTGAATTCATGAGTCGATTTAAGCTAGGTCACGTGAGGGATCGTGGATGCGTACTGTTGATGAGTCCCATACTAGGACGAAACGGGCATCCAGTGCTTTCAGATTTTCATTGGTGGTCTAGCTTAAATTGATATTTACAAATCAATCTAGATAGTTAACATAGCATGCATGATTTTCCGAGATTTTATTTTATAAGTTGACTAATATAATTAGTCATGCTGAATGCTAGTAATGTTGTTCAGTGCCCATCTAGTTGAAATATTCGATTGTAAATAGAAATATATAACTGATTATCGAAATAAACAAAGTATAGGCCTGTGATTGCTGTTCCTACATAACAATGACTTATTTACAAAGGAAAATCGTGAAAACGTCTTTATTACCATATCTCTAACTGAATCTTGGAGAATTTACTTTCTCGAACATAAGTATTTAACCATTACCTATCCACATTTTATTCAGTTGTACTACGTGGTATAACTGAGAGAATATATCGATTTGAAAAGAACATAGTATTATCACTATACACATGTCATTCCATGTAAATCGTTAGTGTTATGTTATGAACACATTATCAAAGTTACTACTGAGAAAATTAGAACAATGATCAAAAAGATCTATTAAAATCATGCAATAAAATGTATATGAATAATCTAATAGTAAAGAATATATCAGTAGTGGGTTGTGGAGATTATTAAGTTTTTGATTAAAATAATGAACCGATTGATGTTAGACAACCATTGAAAACCTGGAAGCAATAGACGGCCGTGTCGTCCAATTGTGACACCGACTACTGATAATTACAATGTGCTCACCAGTGACTAGCTTCGTAAGGGAACTCTCGGAGTTCTAGTGAGAAGCCGTGAGCAGTGGAGCTAATCGGTGTCGGGGAGAGACAGGTATCTACTTCATTACGATGGAAAATGGTGGCGCAATTTGGTGGATTGGTTGAACTTAGACCTCAACACCATTGGATGCCGGGTCAGTGGCCCAGAGGTTAAGCGTCGCGCGCGAAACTGAAAGCTCCGGGTTCGAATCCCGAGAGAAGATCGTCGATGCTCATTGCTGAAGAGTACCACAATCAGAAGAAGCGGCCGTCCAGTGCTTCCAGGTTTTCCATGGTGGTCTAAATCAGTCGGTTCACGATCTCAATCAAATAGTAAAGAATATTAACGGAAAGAGATAGAAAGTGAAAAAAAACGGTATTCAAGAGAAATTAAGAAAATCCTTTAACAAGTCATATCAAGTCAAGAGGACAGAAGTGTCGCGAATTTCTTCAGAACATATGAATTAGGGTTCAAGATTCGGATCCCTATAGCTTCTGATATGTGTAGAAGATGAGATAAAACCCGAATTGGAAACGATGAAGGTATGCGATTAATGGTCTAATTTTATCTACCATATGGCCAGTATCAACAAGTTGTGCCAAGAAAAAACGGCGAATCATCTTGATTGGTTTAATATTTTCATATAAATATTAATGTATATTGACGTATGATGGCGAACTAATGGAAAACAATATTGTTCGCTTACATGAATTGTTCTAACGACATTGTTTCCGTATTTTTGTAACCACAAACGTTCATACTAGTTCCCTCTTACATGTATATAAAGAAAATTGTTGTTTTAATTTTTATTTTTTAAGCAAAGTCTGCATCTTAAACCACTCGCCTTTTCATTATCAACTGGAAATATGCGATCTGTAGTCATAGAATATGGTAAATTCAACCTAAAATATAGAAGCTTACTTATAGTGAGTACTTATAAACACGTGATTACTTTGTCTCGTCAATGGCACTTTATTTAGTTTTATTAACAGTAGTAAATCAGGAATTTCTAAATTGTCCTTGGTTGTCCTGTGGTCACATTATTCTAGTATAATTTATTAAATTTTTGATTGTAAATATTACTTTACAATGGCATGTAATAAATAATGTTGCATGAGTTGGTTCCATTGACATATTTTTCGTTCATCATTACATTAGATAACCCTTAATGAATATTCAATATGTTTCCTGAACAGATACATAAGATTATATGTCCTTCAAAAATATCCGCTGACTGCTTTTTAGTGCAGAAGGTATAAATTAATTTTTCTGATATCTGATGTTCCCATTCACTTTAATTTATTTTTGATAAACTAATCAAATGTAAATAGCATTTTCATTATCAACAAAGGTTTAGACAAATATGCCATTGATCATTACTCAGTGACTGATCAATTTCAAATATCACCGTCATATAGGAGGTCAGCCATCAACTTTCTAGGATAATGGTGATAGTCCATACTATGAAACTGAGAGACATGGTACCGATCACACGTGGATCATCGGTTGTTACAAGCTTACAGGTGCGCTTAACTAACGAGTGCTAACTGTCACGAAACCTAGATATAGGGTTTCCTATGGACTACCTCTGGCCATCTAACTATCGTGTGTAAGAATTAGAAGGACACTATGACAAACATATTCAGTTAAGTATTTTAAAAAATCATATCTTCGATGTATGGGAGTTTCGCGTTTAGTTATTCGATCTGACATTTAACCCATAAAAGAATATACTCCATTTTTTGTTTTATAAAACGACAACAAATAAAAGTTGTGACAACTTTATATGTGTCTAGTTTTGTAAAGAATAAATACTATGAATAGAAAGTATTTTCGTCCCATGGATTATTTTAAAGATTTAATGTTGTGTGTTGATGACGTTTTTTAGATGTATACTAATCATCGTAAAAATTTTTTCTTACAGTTTTACTTGCTAAAAGTTTTACAGTTTACAGTTTCCAGAATGCAGAACTGAAATTGCCAAAAAAATGCAAAAACGGATATCGAATATGGAACGATAGGAGCTTATGGCCTAATGATTAAGGAACTCAGCTTTCAAGTACTTTTTTGAGGGATTGGACATTACTTCAATTTATTGTTAACAGGCACATAATATCATCTGTTCCGGGAAAATTTCTGGCTTACAGGCTTAATGCATAAAATGGTAATCGATATAGAAGTTACATATGAATGTAGTATCATCAGATATATAATGGCTAGCGATGATAATGTCTTAACAAATTGACAGATATACACATCAGTAACATTGAGATGTGATTATGTGTCAAAGACCAATTAAATCTGAGTTTCTTTGCATTATATGAACAAGTTCCCGTTTGTAATACTGATTCTAAACAGTAGAATAGGTTACAACAATAAAAAATTCACTAACCATTTGGAGAATACATACATAGTTTTATCACTTCAGAACAGAAAAAATCAATAACTGAATCGTACATTCTCGATGTCTGTAAACACGCATTGGCATCTGTAAGTCATTTAGTGGTCACTTCACGCACGTATACTTTTGAATTGGCATTTGTTTATCCATAAACTATACAAGATTGTGTGATGTATAATGTAGATGGAACTTATGTTTTGCACATAAGTTATGGCGTAACAAGTTAAAATGAGCACTCTATAGTCATTAAATGACTCAAACAATGATAATCGGAATTAGTAG